ATTGAAAGAAACTGGGGTTTCTGCTAAGGAAAAGAAAGAGATATTTATTCCATAAGCAGAACACCAGCTTTCTATTTAATGTCCTCTCAACTACACACTCCAAAATCCCAGGGTCATTTCATTTATAGAAATTGCTCTACCAAGGAAAGAGCAAAGCAAGATCCATGGGGCCTTAGAATTCTGACTCCTATGATCTTCTGTTCATGAATTATTAAACCTTGCCTGTCACTTTTGTTGAGGTCATACCCCATTACAACATGAAACCAGTGAAATGTAAAGCTGTTGCTAGGAGAGAATAGCAACCAAGTCAGCAGTTAAATAGCACACAGTATGCTTAAACCAGACTAAGTAACAAAACTCAAAAGTTCTCCGAAAATAACTGTATCACACTTCATGCCATGAATTGCACTTGTTTTATAGTCTTTCAAACTCAAAATGGGGGAAGGAACATAAATGAAATTTTCTGAACTGACACTGTAGAACTGATAGTGGACTTTTAGTCTCAGCCCAGGGTTTTTTTTATTTTTAAAAGATTGAAAGGGGAAGCCATTAAACAGATAGAAACAGCAAAATCTAATTACCATCCCAAACTAGGTGACTCGGCAAGATACTGCTGCAAGATTTAGATTCTTGTTCTTTTTTTGCCTCTGATTTCACATAAGAATGCTAAAAGGGAAAGGAGTGCAGAAGTGACCACAGACTTCTAAAACAATAACACAGGCAGTTAAGAGTTCTAACACCCCACAGAATATATGTTTTAAACATTAGGAAGAAGGGTAAGTGTTCTTGCAGTAGTCCAAGACAACAGTTCTAGGCATATCAGCAAATCCACTTCAAAGAGAATTCATCCTATCACCCAATTACAACACAATCAAGTTTTATTTTGGATATCGCCCAACTGTGCCTCAGTGACAAAACAAGAGTCTGGAGCTATCCCACTGCAAGTCTGGTTGCAGAAAGTTTTCACACATACAGAGTCATAATTATGTTGAAATCAGGGCACTTGTCCCTCCTACAGATGCCATACCAACAGTGGTTAAGGAAAAAAAAAAAGGCAGGAGAAGAGAAAAATAATGGTTGTGGTTGACCCATAAAGATGGGTCATCAGTAACCTAAATTCTAAATTGTAAGAGATGGGAGAAGAACTTACTAGAAACTGAAGAGAATTCAAACAAGGTTCAACTTTAAGACAATTCTTTCATTGTTCTAACAATTGCAGTTACCAAGTGCATTTCAAGTTGTAATTGGAAATTTTGGTGACAGATGTAACAGTGTTGCTACTTTTTCTCTCCTGCCACTGCTGTCTACACTATAGAAGTGAGGCGATTCCTTTTTCATTCACACCAAGCACAGCGGCACCAAATTGCAGTCGCAAAAGGTTTTCTTTTCTTTCTAAACCATACTCCTAGGAGTACATCTCAGCCACATTTAAAATATTTACAGATTTATCTCATTTTGGACAGATTTCTTGGTTATAATGTTCAGACTTGAAAGGGATGAAGCAAACAAGATATTAAGCCAGTTATCTAAGGATAAGATTCGCAGAATTACAAATCCTGGAATTTACAAAACAGTGCTTGTTAATTTCAAGAAGCTCACCCGTGGCCAAATAAAAATACCTAAGGACTAACAGAGATGCTGATAGGCTTTTAAAAGGAAATTTAAACTTCTCTGTCTTCTCTGAATTACAAGTATAGCTAAAATCATTAGCAAAGTATTTTGTCTTTTGTTCCCCAAATTATAATTTAGGTGCAATCTATACAAAACAGTCAAGCCCAGCAGCCACCAAGATTCCCAACAACCTCAACTACACTAAGGTTTTTCCAATATTGAAAGGGCTTTTGGCTGGACAACAATATATGAAATGACTTTTGAAACTTGTTCAGTCCATGGGCTCATAATCTTTTGAAAATTGAGCTTATTGACAATAGGCCCTCTTTCTTTATTAATTTTTGGAGACACTGAGGAAGTATCCCAGAGTTCCTAGGTTCACAGGCTGAAAACCACTAACTCATGCATGTCTAGTCACCCAAGCATCCAAATTACAGGAGGGACCGCTGTAGCTGACACCCAGTTTTGTAGTTTCTGTAGATTCAGTCAAGATTTTTGCACCTTGAAATGATGTTCTTTATACGTGACATCTGCAAGTCAGAAGCTGAAACACGTTTGGAAGGCAGCCTGTGGGAAGCTGTAAGTATTCCTGTATCCTGTGTGATTAGTATGCAAAAAGCTGAAGTTCATCAGTCTCCCAGATTCTAAAATACATACTACTGTTAAAGAACCAAATTCCCTCCTCAATATTTTAGAAGCTTACAATGACTTAGAATTATGTTTATCTGAATGCTTCTACTGTATTCAACATTATTAATTTCATGTTAGGTCTCAAAATAGACTTTCCCAAACAAAGAGAGAAGGTATAGCACTTATCAAAACTATGAAACAGCACTATGAACCTTATCGTTTTCTAAATCATTAAGACAGTTGCTCCATATCTACTAGAAAGTAAAAAAAACTTTAAAATGAACTTGAGTAATTTCAGTTGCAGCCACCTCAAATGGAAGATAGGTCAACACAACGCCATAGTTTCAAGGGACAGCCTGTTCAGAGATGGCCCAAAGCCAAGATCTCAGCTGTCTATCCATCACCAAGTATCCCACAGCACATATACAAAACTGTATGCATTTATTTCTGACTTGTTCCCTTCACATCTGTCCACCAGAAATAAAATATGTTTTATATCTTAACATGTATTTTACATATTGCTCAATAGTAAAGGTATTCCACCTCAGGGGGAGAGAAAAAAAAAAAAGCTGCCAACTGGTTCCCAGGTACAGCTTTTTTAAACTTTACAGATAGTATCTCCATTGCTATGAACTGCCAGTTATTATGTATCACATTTACTTGTTCTATACAAACCACTGTTTGGAAACTGACAATTATTTTACCAAACAAGAGTTCTAATGACTACATTAGTGATTTATGGACAATTTTACTATTCTCTTCTTAGAAAAAGAAGATCCTTCTTAAGAATACAATCTTTTATCTTCCTGCAATTTATTATAGTGCTGCTGAACATTCTAAGTTCAGAGTCAGACCCCTAAAAATAATAGGCCTTAAGGATCTATTTAAAAATTATGTACTTTCATTTAGGTTCATGTATTCTAGTTTTCTTCCTTTAACCATAGAACTAATAAAGTTAAGGAAATGGATTGTTTGTTTAATAAACTGGGGGTGGGAGGGAAACAGCTATCACATGAACTGACATTACTGTTAGGCTGTTTCTGTGAGGCCCCCAGAGAAGTATGCAAAACAAGTTTCTTAGCAGAAAGTAATTATACTAGTACAACTGTTATCAGAAAAGGAGCACCATTTCCCGTAGCTTCAACTCTGTCAAACTTAAGTGTCTAATATCTATGCAAGGAAATTTATGTGTGTCTGGTCATCATTTTTTCAAAAACTGTTTCCAGAATTGGTATACAAGCCTCAGCCTTTAGAATCTGCGTAAAGAAGTCATCTTCTAATGCTTCACAGCATATTCGGTGGACCCAAGCAGTCACGGGACCCCTCCTAAGCCTATTGCTTCTTTTCACCCTCAACTAAAATTACCAAGCGTATGTCATAAATAAATAGTGTTTCTCCTCTGCACTGTGTTCATTATAGCTCTAACTACTAGAAGTTCAGGTTTCTCTCTTTACTTGCTTTTCCTTTCCCCATCCACCCATCAGAGGCACAAAAGATATTTTTCCCTGTGTTTTTACAATCACACTAATTCTGTCAAAACCCATTTTCCCTGCCTGCCCGTATCCTCACGTGTAGTTTCCAACGATTCCGGTTTTGAGCTATTCAAGTGCCACAGGCACAACCTCTTTCCAAGATCTCTTCTCCGAAGTCCGCAGTCATTTGTCCTATTACATCAGTGATGTTACTTCAGTTATTCTCCCCTGCTTCTCGCAACGGCGTACCGAGCACGCTGCCATATACCCCAAGAGCTTCGCTAGGAACAGAAGAGCAGGATAACACCGCAAAA